CTCTCTCTCTCTCTCTCTCTCTCTGTGCGGCAGTGGTGGTTTTCAAAAATTTTTGGAACCTCTTCTGTAGGTGTGGCCTGCTTTCCGGGTCCACTGGTGGAACCTCTTCTAACTGGTTTGGTAGATTTGATGAACCGGTTCTACTGAATAGGTGCGAAGTGGTAGGAACCCACCTCTGTTACTGATGAATGTAGAGTGTCTAAAATACCTTAGTTATGGGAAGGTATTGAATGATACTGTTTGGATTCACACAGATCACAACTTTTACATTAATGTAAGTTGTAGCATTTGGCTATCCATGAACAATTACTTCAGTTAGCTTTATTATGTTGCTTCGGGACCAGAAATGATAACTTCGTTCATTTGTTCATTCTGTCTTTTGTTCGATCATTCTATTTCAATAGCTGCTCACCTCAGTCAATGACTCTGGGTGGTTTACAAGTCAAAAAATATGTTACCATTAAAATATTAAAAACATCAAAAAAAAAAAATATTAGGAGCCATGGTGGCACAATGGTTAGAATGCAGTACTGCAGGCTACTTCTGCTGCCTGCAATCTGGCAGTTCAAATCTCACCAGGATCAAGGTTGATTCAACCTTCCATCCTTCCCAGGTTGGTAAATGAGGACTCAGATTGTTGGGCGCAATATGCTGACTTTGTAAAACCGCTTAGAGTGGGCTGTAAAAGCACTATGAAGCAGTATATAAGTCTAAGTGCTATTGCTATTACTAATTAGCAAATTATCAAGAAGAATTCTAAGTATCTTAATATTCTAGAAAAAGACTTCAGGAAAAAAAGAACCTCATCAAATATTTTCAAAACTCCAAATCTGGAGCTAAGACCATAAGAATGTTACATAATTCTTACATGTTTTTTTTTAATTTTGTTAATAAAGAAATATGTCGTGTTAACTTGCAATACAGAATGGTTTCATTCTTTTAATATAATTGGTCAGTGATGATTCAAAAATCGTGCTTATTTATATATCATACGGTAGTTGTTCCAACTTAATCATCACAGAAGTTTATAGGATTGCCTGCAAAGTTCAGAGTTATATGAAAATTATATGACAATGTCTATGTGATAGTTCTTACTATATTAATTATATTCATACAGGCCCTCTCATTCCCATAATGACAATTGTTTCAAAAAGTAGGAACATCACAATAAAACCTATAACATTTACATCTATACCTTTGTTTATATACAAACTGGGTTTATATAAAAACTGGGTTCATGTCAGGCGTGAAAAAACAGACCCTCATATCTGATTGTCTAGCTACTTTATTGTTTTATGACTATTTCAGAGGAATCTCCCCATCCTGGCAGCTTTCATTGGGAATAAGATTAAAATGCATTTAGATGTGTGTGTGAGGGGGGGGGGGGAGAAGAGAGAGGGAGGGAGGGGGAGGAATTCAAACTTCATCCTCCTGGTGCAACTTTGTGTGTGTGTGTGTGTGTGTGTGTGTGTATGTGTGTGTGAGGGGGGGGGGGGAGAAGAGAGAGAGATATATATCTTGGCTTTTTGTGCTTACATAATGAGTCCGGACTAATTCCCTGCTTAAGTTCCCCCCTAGATTGAGACGGTTGTTCTCAAACAATTATTTATTCAGTTTCTATAACCATCCATCTCAATCAAAGACTCTGTTATAGTGTTTACCTTAGTATGTTACAATCTGGATTATAAGCGTTGTATGTGACTTAACACAATGTGTAAACTTAACCCAAGGTAGTTCATTCGAGTAATTTTTGGACAGAGGTAACCCGATTGAATAGTGTCATTGCTTGTTATCAGTTCCATCGAATGGGAAACATCAAATCTTAGTCTTGAAGACAAATAAGATTCCTTGAAAAAGCTTACTGATATATATGGCTGTAAAACTTCAATGTTGCCTATTTGTGGTATTCATTAACATTTTCGGTGGCAGTCATACCTGGAACTGGTAAACATTAAGTAGAGTTCTTTTGGAAGATATTCTAAGCTTCAGGAGATCTGGGGTGGAAGATGTAAGAATCATGGTTGGAGAGGATCTCAAAAGCAAGAGGGAAAAAAAACCCGGAGTGGAATGGAATATCCAAATAATTCAAATAGAGATGTGGAAATAATATAAATTCATGCCGACATATACAGGTAGTCCTCAATTTACAACCATTCTTTTACTGATTGTTTGAAGTTACAATGGCACTGAAAAAAGTTACTTATGACCGATTCTCACACTTAAGCTTGCTACGGTATTCCCTACTGCAGTGTTTCTCAACCTTGTCAACTTGAAGATGTCTGGACTTCAACCCCCAGAATTCCCCAGCCAGCATTCGCTGGCTGGGGAATTCTGGGAGTTG